AGTGTCGCGGCGGTGCAAACTCAGTTTCACAGCACGCGGTGGTGGTCGCAACAGTGGTAGATCCAAGGTGCAATGTCAGATCTGTGCTAAAATTGGACACGATGCAAAGGTTTGCTACTTCAGACTTTCAGTTGCTGGTTCTGGATCTCAGCAATGGCGTGCTACAGCTTTGGCTCCAGTACCAATGGCTAATTTTGTTGTGCCCTACTTTCAAGGTAATCCTGCAGTGCAAATGCCTCATCAGTGGATGCCTCTCACTCAATGGCGTGGTCCTGCGAAAGGATTCCTTGCTATGCCTTCTAGCCCTGCATCTGGTAGCAAACAACCTCAGGTTTTTCTTGCAGGCACAGATATTCAATCTTTAGCTGGCAACAATCAGTGGTATGCAGATTCAGAAGCAACTCACCATGTCACCAACTATGCTGATCATTTTTTGGATAGCATTCCTGCCTCTGGCTCAAACCAAGTTATGCTTGGCAATGGTCAAGGTCTGTCAATTACATCAGTTGGTAACACTTCCTTCACATCTGCACACAAACCACATGTTACACTTGCCTTAAATAATCTTTTATTAGTGCCCTAAATTACAAAAAATCTGATATCTGTGAGTCAGTTTGCAAGAGACAACAAGGCATTTTTTTAGTTTCATCCTAATGACTGTAATGTCAAATCCCAGGCTACTTCTGAAGTCCTTCTGCAAGGCACTCTTGGGAAAGATGGCTCTATGCATTTGGCAACCTCACACCTACTATCAGCTCCGCCAATAAATCACTGAATGTGCACACACACCAAACTTCATGTACCTACTATTTCCTTAACTACTAGTCAGAATAACATGTCTGGAATAGGACTTTCTTTGTATTCACAGTGGCATAATACGTTGGGGCATCCTCATCATGAGGTCCTCAAAACTGTTCTTACAAGTTGTAATGTTCCTATACCAGTTAAATCTCAATTTGATTTCTGTTCTGCTTGTTGTTTGAGAAAAGTGCACAGATTACCTTCACACACATCCACTACACAATACCATGCTCCTTTTGAATTACTTTATGCAGATGTGTGGGGTCTTTCACCAGTAGCATCTGTTGTTGGATACAAATACATGTTCACTGTGGTTGATGCCTTTACCAAGTTTAGTTGGGTATTTTTAATGACTCAAAAATCTGAGGTAACATCTATCTTCAAGTTATTCCTGGCTCACATTACAACACAATTCAAGCACACTCAAAGCCTTACAAAATGATGGAGGTGGAGAGTTTCAACCTCTCACTTCTATTCTGGCTGCACAAGGCATCACACAGATTTACTTGTCCTCACACTCACCATCAAAATGGTGTTGTTGAGAGGAAACTAGACATGTTGTGGAAACAGGCCTCACACTGTTGGCACAAGCATCTCTACCTCTAAAATTCTGGGACTATGCTTTTCAGGCAGCAGCTTTCCTGATTAACAGGATGCCTCTCCTGTTTTGTCTATGCAATCTCCCTACCGTTTGCTCTATAATGCTGCACCTGATCAGACAACCCTTACAAATTTAACTTCCATACCAAGGAATGTGTATTTCTTGGATTTTCTCCACATCACAAAGGCGGCTACAAGTGTATGGCCTCTGATGGAAGGGTGTATATATCCAAGGATGATGTTTTCAATGAGTCCAGGTTTCCATATATGCATACACTGTCCAAGGTTGCAACCTCAACCTCTCCTTTATCTACCTCATCTGTCTCAGTTCCTCTTTCCTTCTCTACACCTATTTCACTTACACAATCATCTTCTAATTTGCCTTAACCTATGCCTCTTACTGCAATACCTATTAACACTCCCACATTTGTGTCCCATTCATCTCCTTCACAAGTATCTCCTCAAACCTCATTGTCCAACCCTCTTCTTGGCTCCTCATCAACAAGTCCATCATCAGCCTCTAGTTCTGAACATTTTCATGTTCACCCTGTTTTTCCTCAAAACACTCATTCTATGATCACTAGATCTAAGGCTGGTATTGTCCAGCCTAGGATTCACCCTACTCTCCTCTTAACTGAACTAGAACCTACCTCCTATAAAATGGCTCTCAAAGATCCAAAATGGTTAGAGGCCATGACTGCTGAGTACAATGCCTTGTTACATAATCAAACGTGGACTCTCACTATTCTTCCTCCTGGCAGAAAGGCAATAGGATGCAAATGGGTTTTCAGGATCAAACAAAATCCTGATGGGTCTGTCCTTAAGTATAAAGCCAGACTGGTTGCAAAGGAGTTTCATCAAGTTCAAGGTTTTGATTTTCAGGAAACTTTCTCCCCTGTGGTCAAACCTGTCACAGTCAGGGTGGTGCTCTTTATAGCCCTAACTAGGCAGTGGCCAATCATTCAACTAGATGTGAACAATGCCTTCTTAAATGGCATTCTCACTGAGGAAGTCTATATGCAACAACCCCCTGGTTTTGTCCACACTGATTCCACTTCTATTTGCAAACTAAACAAAGCCATATATGATTTAAAACAGGCACCTCGGGCATGGTTTGAAAGACTTACAGGTGCTCTCCATTCACTTGGATTTATGACCAGTAAATGTGACCCCTCCCTATTCATTTTATCCACCTCTACTTATACTATTTTTATGCTAGTATATGTAGATGACATCATTGTCACTGGCAGCTCTCCTACTCAGATTCAAAGCCTAGTTACCAAACTTCATAATCAGTTTTCTCTCAAACAGCTAGGTAACTTAAGCTACTTTCTAGGCATTGAAGTCTCCAAAACATCTCAAGGTGGCCTTTTTGTCTCTCAAACCAAATATGTGAGAGATCTCTTAGTCAAGACCAACATGAGTGAAGCAAAGAGCTTGCCCACCCCTATGGTTTCAAATCTTAAACTGACTAAGAAAGGGTCAGATTACCTTCAAGATCCCACTTACTACAGATCTGTAGTAGGGGCTTTACAATATGCAACAATTACCAGGCCAGAAATCAGTTTTGCTGTCAACAAAGCCTGTCAATTTTTGGCTCAACAAATGCAGAGCCACTGGGTAGCAGTCAAGAGAATACTCAGGTATCTCAGAGGCACACTTCATCATGGTCTGCAAATGTCACCTTACACTTGCTCCCCCTCTGTTTCTATCACAGCTTATTTTGATGCTGATTGGGGCTCTGACCCTGATGATAGGAAATCTACATCAGGGTCTTGTATCTTCATTGGCTTTAATTTGGTCTCATGGTGGTCTAAGAAACAAACTCTAGTAGCCAGATCCAACACTGAAGCAGAATACAGAAGTTTAGCTAGTACTGCTGCAGAGGTCCTGTGGATCAAGTCTCTCCTAGCAAAACTTCAGATCCTATCTCAAACTCCTCTTCTGCTTTGTGACAACTTAAGCACTGTAGCTCTCTCACATAATCCTCTTCTGCATGCTAAAATTAAGCATATGGAATTGGACATCTTCTTCCTAAGGGAAAAGGTGCTTAACCACACCTTGGTTGTCAAGCATATTTCAGCTGTTGTTTCACAAACAGCAGACATTCTAACTAAACCTCTCTCAGCTCTCAGATTTCTCACCCTTAAAGATCACTTGAAGGTTGTGGACAAATCCTCACTTCAAGGATGCAAATGACTCTCTCAGAGTAGTAGCATTTGAAGGGGAAATATTAGAGTATAAGCATAGAATAGAATAGCTTAGAAATGCTGACCTGGCAGCATTTAATATAAATTTGTTATCAGTCATAACTAACTGTTAGAATTAGTTATGATGAGTTGTACTTTCTGTTATGCAAAGCTTGTCTATATAAAGCATAACAGTGTATCAATTCATTTGAGATTTAATCAATACAGAACTCTCCCTCTTGAATATGCTCTTCTTACAGAACTCTATTACCCCTTGTACTCTATTTCTAATCAAATCATCTTGCTTATCAAAAAATAAAAAAGTAAAACGTGAAGAGGTGTGTGGAAATTATTATATATATTGAGTCTGGAACATTAGGAAAACAGAATGTGAAGAGGTGTGTGCTACTGAGTTGGTGTGTGGGTATTATATATACTGAGCCTGGAACATTAGGAAAACAGAATGTGAAGAGGTGTGCTACTTCAAGAGTTGGAGAGCATACATACGAGATATACTAGACAAATAACTAAAAAGAGAAAAGTAACTCCCAACCCTAGTGTTGTTGGCACTTCATCTAAAACAAAGAAGTTGGCGGATGATTCTTCATCTAGGAATGGGAAAGCAACATGTGGTTGAAGTGCAAGATCCTGTCTTCGTAGAATCATAGAATCAGAAGCAGAATTTGAAGACATTGATTCAGATGATTCAATTGAAGAAGCTGAAAGATATGTCTCACTGTCCGAAAATGAGGATAATGATTGTGTTGGAGAAAAGAAAAATAATTAGATCTTTTATCACTAATTAGACTTAGAAGAACTACTAATTATTACTTAAAACTACTTAACTTTTGAGTTTTAATTTCAGTTTTTAGCTTTCTGCAGCACTGTTTATGCAACATTGTTTAGTTGCTAAGAATTCGAAATTTTCAGTTTAATGTCCGGAACTTTTCGTTAATATCTGTTTATGCAGCTTTTATTTGCGTGTCATGCTTTATTTTCCATAAATATTTTTTAATCGTTTTGTATTTTCTGCTATGCGATCCGATATTTCTCATATCGTTTTTTTGGTGATCCCCTATTTTCCGCTATTAACTACACCGACATCTATTCAAAGTATAACAACACAAATAAATCGTTAAACTAAAGATAGCAAAGCAATAAACTACCATAAGAGCATAACAATTAATCATTTAAACATTGTGTCACTGCAATAGTAATTAATTGTCGCAAACTTAAACTGAACAAAAAATTGTATTTTATCAATATTAACATGCAATTTGATTAAAACACAGACTAATAAGTAATAGTATATCATTGATAAACATGCTATATCCGTGATAAACTGTATAACTAAAAAGTAGCATAACGTTAACGTGCTTTAATTAAATTTGATTATAAAAAAAGTTTTACCAGTAGAAGGATCATAACGTGACCAAAGCTTAGTTTTCAGCTTATACTCAGCGGAGAGAAACCGAACCCAAACACGTTCCTGGCTACCGTCGGTATTAACAGCATTAAGGATTGAGCCACCAACGCCGGGTACCAACAACACAGGATCGAGATTGGGGTTGATGTAGGTTTGGGATTGGGGCTTCTTCAAGAGACGCAGCCATAGCTCAATGGAACGAATCACGTCCTCCAACAACATCGTCATCGACAAATGGAAACCCTAATGAGAATGATGGATTGATTGATTGAATTGGGATTAGGGTTTGAATTTGGGAAACGTGTTGTTGAGTACGCCAGCCAGGAAGAAGGAAGGAAAGGGAAGGAAATGTAAATGGATAAGACTTGAGGTTGGATGATGCCGATTGTGACGGTTTTTCTACGTGGATTTCGCTTTTCTAATAAAACTATTTTTTTTCATCGGAAAAATATATTTAATTTTGATGTCTCCACTTTACTTTCTTTTTTTACTTTTCTGACATAGTTTCATATTTATTTTTGTTTTTTATTAAAATTATTAGATGAATTTGAGAAAAGGAAAACCGCCCTATTAGTTAATTATAAACATCTATTATTTCCGATTTACGTATAGATTTTTTCTAAAATACTCTTCCTATATTAACATGTACTAGTATATGTTAAAAATTTAAATTTCTAGACAAGTTAATATTAATAATATTAAATATAATAGTTCGTTGAATAAATGATAGCCAAAAAATAAATTATCTCATTTGTCTAATTCAATAAATTTCTCAAAAATTTATAATTTATTTAATATTTTGTTTTATGTGAATATTTTTTCCATGGACCTAAGTCAAAAATTTGTATGAATAATTCAAAGAAAATGTATAACCTATTTTGCATTGTCCATCATATATAACTTCATGGAATTTAATTTTTCTAAATCTAGTCATATTTATTATTGTGCATAATATGGTTTTTTGGCAACACTACAAAGACAACGCTTTCCATAAAAGTGCTGCTAAAGATTTAAAAAAACAAAGGAAAAAGCGCTATTATAACATGGCTTTAGAAAGCACTTTTAAAAAGTGTTGCTAAAGGTCGTTGTTATGCAATATAATAGAAAGCTCTTTTAAGAAAGCGCTGCTAAATGGGGGATACAAAAGCGTTTTTTAAAAGCGCTGCTATAGGGGGGATACGAAAGCGCTTTCCTAAAGCGCTGCTATAGGTCCTGCCTAAGACAGACCTTAGAGAGCGCTTTCCTAAAGTGTTGCTAAAGGGGGGGTACGAAAGCGCTTTTTAGGAGAAAGCGCTGCTATAGGGGGGTTTAAAAAAACGCTTTCAAAAGCGCTGCTATAGGTATTTAGTTTTCTAAAAATAAAATAAAAATTTCATTTCAGACCCATTCTTTCTTTCTCTCTCAAGTAATATTTTTTCCCTCTCTCAAGTATAAAACCCTACTCCCTCCGTCGTACTCCCTCCTCTGTACTCCCACCGCCGTACTCCTTCCGTTTGTCCGACCATTTCTCATTCTCCCTTTGTCTGTCCTCTGGTGGTTTCTCATTCTCCCTCTATCCGACCACTTCCACCATTTTCAAGGTATTTATGCATTTTCTTCATTTTCATGGTTACGGTTTGATGAGTTTTTTTATTGTGGAAATAGTGAAGATAATTTTGATGTTGTTGATGTTAAATGTTATAAGGTATGTTAATGTTAATATTGATGTTGTTGATGTTAATGTTGATGTTGATGTTAAATGTTGATGTTAATGTTGATTGTTGTTGATGTTAATGTTGAATATTATGATGTTGTTGATGTTAATGAAAACATGAATTAATTTTGTATGTTAATTTTGTATATATGTTAATGTTGTTGTTATTGATGGAAACTTGAATTAAGTAAGGAGAATGTTGTTCTTGATGTTGTTAATGTTGATGTTATTGATGTTGATGTTGATGTTGTTGATGAAAACATTAATTAATTTTGTATGTTAATTTTGTAAATATGTTAATGTTGTTATTGATGGAAACTTGAATTAATTGTTGAATACTGTTGATGTTGTTGATTGAATTAATTGTTGATGTTTGAATATTCGTGAATTAATTGTTGAATATTGTGATGTTGTTGATTAATTATTTGAACTTAAGTGATGAAGTTGTTATATTAGGTACACCATCAGCTACTAACTTAATGAATTTGTTATAGGGGTTACTTGTGAAGAGTAAGATTGTGATCGTTTCCAAGAATCTTACTGTGTAGTTCTAGAAGTTGTTGACTTCTCTACAGTTGCTACAGGTAATCATTGTTTTTGTTTAGCTTACTTAGTTTAGTTTATCCTACTTAATTAGTATGGATAAGAAATGGATGTATTCCAATCGATTGTCAAAAGAGTACGAGAATGGGGTATCAAAATTTGTTAAGTTTATTGTTGAACACGCCAAAGACCCCAGTAGGATCACATGTCCTTGCTTAGGTTGTTGTTATGGGCGTCAGATTGACGCGGTTAAGTTGGAATCGCATTTAAAGAGGCATGGAATTGATCTAAGTTATACATGTTGGACATTACATGGTGAGATAAGTAACGAGAATGTTGAACCAGGGGATAATACGACATATGCTTCAAACGATAATGGAGCAGATACATACGACTATGATCGAGTCGAAGAGATTGCAGAAGAACTTGAAGAAGATCTTCAGGATTGTCCCAAAATGTTTGAGAGGTTGGTAAGCGATTGAGAGAAACCGTTGTATAAAGGTTGCACTACTTTCATAAGATTGTCTGCGATATTAAAGTTGTACAACTTAAAGGCGGGCAATGGATGGTCGGATAAAAGTTTCACATAGTTATTAGCCCTCATGAAATAAATGCTTCTAGAGGATAATGTTCTTCCCAATCGAACCTATGAAGCCAAAAAAATGTTGTGCTCTATTGGCATGAGTTATGATAAGATACATGTTTGTCCAAATGATTGCATTTTGTTTCAAAATGAATATGCATCATTAAACGAGTGTCTTAAATGTGGTGTATCTCAGTATAAGAAAACATTGTCCTCAACAAAAGTCTTATGGTATTTTCCTATAATTCTGAGATTTAGACGCATATTTCATAGTGAAACAGATGCAAAACACTTGACTTGACATGCAGATGATAGAATCATAGATGGAAAGTATCAACATCCGGCAGATTCACCATAGTGGATGAAAATTGATAATAAGTATCCTAATTTTAGAGAAGAAGCGAGAAACCCTCGCTTGGCATTATCTAATGATGGAATGAACCCGCATGGTCTGCAAAGTATCTCACATTTCACATGGCTTGTGATTATTATGATTTATAACCTACCTCCATGGCTATGTATGAAGTGTAAGTACGTGATGTTATCTATGTTAATTTTTGGTCCTAAACAACCAGGGAATGACATAGACGTATACTTGACACCTTTAATCAAAGACTTAAAGAGTTTGTGGGAGAACGGTGTGGAGGTTTATGATGGATATAGGAAAGAAAGTTTCAATTTGAGGGTGATGTTGTTTGGCACAATTGATGATTTTCTAGCATACAGAAATCTATCGGGGTATAACATTAAAGGTTAATATGTGTGTCCTACTTATGAAGAAAACATAGATTGGACGCGATTGGAATTTAGTCAGAAGAATGTCTTTCTTGGTCATCGTGGATTCTTAAATTCTAATCATCACTACCGTGGATGGAGAAAATCATTCAATGGAAATTCAGAACAAGATAGAGCTCCACCTACATTGACAGGTGAACATATTTTTGAAAAGGTGAAAGATGTGAGTACTAAGTTTGGCAAGCCTTTTGCTCATAGGCTTGTCACACGTGGGTGGAAGAAGAGGTCAATTTTTTTTTTTTGAATTGTCGTATTGGAAGTCATTGTATGTAAGACATTTTCTTGATGTTATGCATATTGGAAAAAAAAAGTATTTGAAAGTGTTATTCGTACGTTACTCAATATACAAGGAAAGTCTAAGGATGGCCTTAAAGCAAGAAAGGACTTGGTAGCAATGGGAATAAGAAATGACTTAGGACCCTTGAAGAAAGGAAATCGAACATATTTACCACCTGCTGCTTATACTTTATCTAGAAAGGAGAAAAAGATATTGTGTAAGTTTCTAAGTGAAGTTAAAGTTCCAGAAGGATATTCTTCAGATATTAGAAGACTTGTAACGAGGGAATTTGGATCAATCCATTCGTCTGTGTTGTTAAGAGACAAGTAAACCATGTTCCAACGAAGAAAAGAAAGAGATGTTAGTGAAAAAGGTACTAGTAAAAATATATATTATGTCATTCAATAAAATTATATATTTGTCATTCAATAAAATTATATATGTTTTTCTTTTCATATATATTTGTCATTCATTTCATAAGTTTGTTTTTCTAAATTACAGGTATTATGGCTAGCAACAAGGAAAAATCACATGATACTTCTAAAAATGATGAAAACGAACCAGTACATGATGTGGACGAAGATATTATAAGAGGAATAATGATTGTGAAGGGAATCATTCATGCGAGAGATAAATGTATAAAATATGATGCGCATTTGAATGAAACAAACCAATTAATTGAGCCTAACAGTGCAATGTTGACAGTTACATTGGGGCACTTGTTCGTTCGCAAATTCCAATCACTTGTGATAATTGGAGAATTCCATCGTTGAAACCCGCTAAAGAAAAAATATGGAGTGAGATACAGGTATCACATCTGATATTATTTATTTTTGTTGACGATTATGTCTTTAAATTACTTATACTAACATACTATATGTATGCTAATTTGTTTGCAGAGGTCTTTTAATATTGGTGACGATCGAAAAAAATATTATCTTCAATTGGCCAGAAAAAGACTCAGAGGATTTCGAGCATTTTTAACGAACAAGTTTCTTAAGGATTCTGATGGAAAATTTGTTGAATCAAAGCGTCCAAAGAAGTATGCAGATTTGATTTCACTTGAAGAATAGGAAACTTTTGTTGCCAAGCGAAGAACCCAAGAATTCCATGTAATTCTAACTTATCATGAACAATGTATAATATATATACTTCTTCCACATGAGTTCTAATATGACTTAAACTTATTTTTTTAGGTTGTAAGTGACATAAATCGGCAACGACATCAAAACCCGCGTACCCCTACAAAAAAAGGCGTTTGGGATATGCACGCTTACAACAAAAAATAGTAAGTGTATATAAATGCTTTAATATGATATAGTTAGAATACGAGAAAA